GTTGCGTCAATGCAATCAATCCGATGCGAGCATTCAGCCATAATCAAATGTTTTTAGCCGTACTAAAACCTTCAAAAAGTCGCGCTCTCTTACTTTGTCTCGTTCTCTATCAGAAAATCTCTTTTGACCAAATGTGTCTACATTGAAAATTGAAACGAATATAACAAACGGCAACAAGCGGAATGAAAAAAAAAACAAAAAAATTACCGAAAATTGTTCATTGAAATTTTCGTTTTGTTTTCGCATCACTTGTTTCGTGTCGTTCGTGAATGCAGCGCAAATTCGCATTGTCGTCTCTATAAAATGTATCACCGGTCATTCTCGGCATTGTTGGAAAAATTGGCAAACAAAAAGAGCAACAGCAATGAGTACGAGCAATCACATCTCTTGTGATGCCGTTTAAAGGAGCACTCTTCCTTTCGCGATGAGCACATTCCAAACGAATCACATTCGCCGGTCAGGGGAGTGTTCCTCGCCAAATAAACGCGCATATTGTAGTTGAGTCTTTTGTTGTTGCTGTTTGTTTGTTTGTCGTTTTTTTCTCGTGTCTTTTTTTTTAGTTTTTCGATTTTGTGCATGGTACATAATCTACATCTTTCAGATGAGACAACCGAGATTTGAAGGACCATGATGGCAATTTGATTTGAAATGCAACAGTTTTAACCTGAATGCACGATTGTATTTCGTTCGTCGTCGCAGTCGTCCGTTGTATGTTTCTGTAATTTGGATTCGTTGTGTGTGTGTTTTTTTCATTCGTTTTGTTGTTGTGCATGGGTTTGGTGTGTGTCGCGTTTTATGCTTGATTCGTGCTCGTTTGTTTGATTTCTTTTTGCCACAATTTAGTCTCTTTGATGTGTTTTCTCTTTGTTTCTTCACGTTCAATGTCATTTTGCGATGTTTGCGCGTTGCATGCGATATGAGAGAGTTGAAAAAGAGGAAGAGAGAGAGAGATAGATAAAAAAAGAAGTGAATTGCACTTTTGTTCGTTCTTCATTGTGCACGGTGCCTTGATTTTTCTGTCGTCTTTTTACGCGAAAAATTGTTGGCAACAATTGTTTTCCTCTTCATGTTACCATTCCGCGCTTAATCTAAATATATATGAAAGATTTAAATCATTCTATCTCTTCAATATGAAGAACCGAACGTGTGTGTGATGTGTGGTGACTTTGTTTCGATATATATACATTTTTTCGTTGTTTTTTCTCCATTTGTGTTCTGCTTTTTTTCTTTCATTAATGGTCGTCTTATATTTCGTCGTTGGATTTTTTTTAGGTTTTGTTCAACCATCATTCGGTTAGTTTGTTTGTCTCGCTGTGATTAAAATGATCGTCAATCGTGAATTCTGCACCGAATTTTCGAATAAGAGATAATGTACGCGCGATGAGTGAGTGAACGGCAGCCACGCGCCCGCGCACACACAACACTATTTAGCCAATTTAAGAGAAAAATATTATGCTCGAAAACAAAGAGTAAGAATAAAAGAAACACACACACATACACCAAACCAAACCAAACCAAAACTGTGGACAAATGCAAACAACGGAAAAAAATGACAATTCAATGGAGTGCTTAAAATCGACAGTAATTTTCAATGCGAATAACAATCGTTTTGTGTTTTCGATCTGCTCGGAGTGTGTGTTGCCGTGTATGCGCTGGAGTTTTTGTGTTTTTTTTTTCGTCTCTTTATTGTCATTCCTTTTAATCAATTGAAAGAAAAAAAAAACGGCTGAAACTGATTTATTTATGGTTTTCATTGTCTGGTTGCGCTGGGAAAAGCAAATTACTTCAGAACGACAAAAGCTACTTATGGCCGATCGGCATGCGAAAAGAAAACGAAGAAACAACGAAAGCAGAACACTTGATCAAATGTAAATTCAATATAGTATTTAAATGTACAAACACGCAAAGCGAACCGAATCGCCCCGAACAATGAGACTATTTCCACTTAAAATGAAACGATCAACGACACAAACTTATCCTGTTGACACATTCAAATGCCAAGTGCTACTTGAAAAAATAGAGAGACAAAGCAGTCAACGGGCGGCCGGGAGCAATAGAAACTCCAAACGTTTTTTTGTTTCGATAAACTTTCGCGTAGAAAAATCTGAAGAATTTTTTTTTCTGTTTCGAAAAGTCCAATCAGTAATTTAATGTGATTCGCGACTCAGCATTCACGGCTATAAATCACATTGGCAAAGTTTGCGTGATCTTTTGCCATCAAATATCGTCGTCGTTGTCGTCACCATCGCCCAACATCAAAAACAAAAGAATTTCATTTCATCACTTTGAAATGGCACATTAAATTGAAAGCCTGGGAAACCGAAAATAGCAAACCAAACTCTTATCAAATTGAATAGCAATAAAATTGGAATTAATTGTTGGTCTCAAATGAAATGCGCGAGATAAGCGATAATCTCTTTCTCTTTTATTTTTATTCACATCTCTCGTGTGTGCTGCGATAGGCTATCGGTGGGCCATTTGCCTATCACTCGAATGTGTGTCCGCGTTTGTGTGTATGTGAGTGCGCGCATATGTTTGTGCGTTTGTTCTTAATTGGAAATCATCGATGTGAAATGGTCAAATGAACCGTAGTCCACTTAAGCGTCAATGCCGTGGCGATAGCATCTGTTAATTTGAGTATTTAAAGATATCACTGAGCAATCAACATCATCATCTATTGACAAGAAGCTTAACATGAGCACAATGGAACCAAATTTAAAGACCAATTTTTTTTTTGCTTTCTCTTGTCATTCTTCTCTGCACCTTCTTTTGCTGCTTTTGCTATGTGTGTGTGTTTGTCTCTTTGCTGCTGATGCTTGTTTCTTTATTTCTTTTTTTTTTCTCGTCGGTTTATCATCAACGAAAACAGCAATTTCTCTCGCTATTCGTTGTCATTCCACGTTTGTCGTGTTGATTGTGCGCGCACCACAAATATATTCACAAAGAAAAAATTTTATCCATCTCTGTCAGTCTACCTGTTGATCCGAAACGTTCTCATTCGTTTGCTCTTTTCGTGTTTTGTTCTGATATTATGGCAGAGCATCTCAGTTTTGTCATTTCCAATGTGTATTTGTTTAAAGATTCCGTATAGAAATGTTGGAGAGATGAAAAGAAAACATGAAATACAGCCAATTCGATGTGAGGCAAGAGAGTTCGGTAAGTGTGTTTGTATGATCAGCATACGGGATGGTAATAATATCAAGAATAGCATACATACGGTGCGGTGCGCAAGAGAGACAGATTGAAAGAATAAAAGAGGCAAAAACAGCAAACAGAAATCTAAATCAACAAACCTGTTTTCGAGCTACTTCAATGTTAAATACGCTTTCGGCTGGTCGTCGTGGTCGCTTCCATTCGCATGCAACCAACAATACTGAACACACATACAGAACGAATCACGCATACACTGCCAGCCATGAGATAGATAGATGAATTGCACTTCGCAACATTTTAAAATTTTCTTTTCGCGTCTCCTTTTTGGCGAAATGGTTAGGCTGAGTGCATTGATTGAAGACGATCGATGCCTGACCGAAGCAGCTATCCCAAATACGTGTGCATATATGTTGCGCACTCAATCCAACTGTATCTACAGCAAATTTGGAGTTAGTATTTTTTTTTTTTTGGTTCTTTTTGTGCCAGGATATTCGGCTCACATCGCCAAGGGCAAGGGTTTCCAAATCACCTATTTTATTGCATGAGCAAGCAGCTTGCGTTTTTGCAATTTGCTTATTGAATTTCATTCGAATCCAATCATATTATATTAATTTTCTTGTGGCATTTTCACTGGATTTTTGGTTGCTTTGGTGAGTTTAACAAATGTTAGGTGTGTGCGTTTGTGTCTGCGAAATGAACTAAAAATGGACGCAGAAACACTTTTGAAAGAAATGAACAAATGGAGAAAAAAAATCGAGTCATTCGAAGTTCGCATGATGAGAAGAGAATGACAGCCTTTGGTTTTTTGTTGGATGATGACGACGATGATGATCGCTTTGGTACTTGCGAATTGCATCCATACAATTTTCATGTTTGAGTTTTTATGAGTTCGGATACAGGTTCTTCGTTTTGTTTTGTGATCGTTTGCCAAGTGTGCGCTCTAGCATTGGCTTGTACAAGCGAAAAACACATTGTGCATCTCTTGATTTGTACAAGGCGAAAAACTGGAAATCGCAAAGCATCAAATGAGAGAATTCCACACGGCATAAAAGAGTCACATGAATAAAAAAAAATTGCACACCGCAACAGATAGGATGACGTTGTCAGAATGGAAATTTGCTCGTTCGCACAGTTGATCGAGAAGAGAGTCAATCGTTCAGCAACAGTCTGAACCGCCAAAGTCTGGATGGTTAATTGTGTATACTGTTGCGCAAAGTCGATCGCCGTTTATTTTGTGCCAACAACAACAACCACCACGAACACAATCACATGCAATTAACAACTTGTCGATCGAAGGCAAGAGCACACAAGTGAATGATTGTGTTCGGTTTGATTGTATTGTGCGGCATATAGCTGCCGCATGAACAAAACAAAAACAAACTCACAATACATACAAAGGTATCAATTGTATCCATCTCTTTTTATTCTTGAGCATCTTATGCTATTCTTTGAAGCACACGATCGATGCCATGCACACTCGCATTTGAAAATGGTAGTACACATACATCAATAAAGTTAGATGAAAAACATATTTATCGCGTTTTGTATACGAAAAGCGTAAGCGAGATCGATGTATGGTCAGAAAACAGAGCAACGGATACATACACACACGCAAGAACATACACTTCAACAAATAAAACATAGAAACAGGCGCGCAATTCACGACTATATTCTTTTCTCCAACTGTTTGTTACGTGTGTAGATGTGTGTGCGCGCTCGTGTGTTTTTCCTTTTCCTTCTTCTGTATCGAGTTATTACCTTTTTGTGCGCGCTGCTACGGAATTTCATGTTGCATGTTTGTGGTGTGTGGTAGAATGGTATGCTCTTCAGTTGATCGTAGGCTCAAGCTTAAGATAGACGGTACACGGACAACCATGCGATTCATTCGATTCGCATCGTAGTGTAAAGCGAACATTCAAATTTGAACATTTTTCCATTGTTTTTAGCAAAGTGAAAACAACATTATTATATTTAATTTGTGGAATTTTTTAATATAAGTGAATTCAATTTGAGGTGAATCACTGTGAAAAAAGGATTTATTTAAATTTTTGTGAGCCAAACATTGTGAGTTGTATTATATCAAGTGCATCAAGCACAAAGTTGATGTTCAATATTAAAAAAATAGCGATACTTTTGCATAGGATTTTAAAGAACTAGGATTGGAAAACACATTTAAAATTTCCAATCGAGACAAAGTGATGTTGATGGTTATTGCAGAATATAAAACGAAACAACAACAACATCGGCTTAAAAAAAGAGAAAATTGTGTGTATGGATTTTTTCCTTGGAATTTTAATTTCAAAAAAATTATTGTAATTGCCCTGTTGCTGTGTTTGTGTTTTATCAACTCTTTGACCCCATAGTGAGAAGAAATAAAGTTAAATTTTATTTTAAATAAGAACAACGATACGCTGGATAATTTAACCAATAATTTCGCAATTAAACTGCATTGAACGACTGCAATGATCCGTTAACTATTGTACACAACAGTGAGCGAGAATCGACAAAAGCATAAGCATAACAACAACAATAACAAGCATACACATACAGAGTGTTCAAAGCGCAACAACAGCAGCAATAGTACGGATTGAGAGAAAGAAGCACTGCGAGAGATAAACGGCAAACAACCATCCAGCCCAGCCACAGCACCAAAACGCGAACAGAAAACAGATACCAACAAGTAACACCAAGCCAAGTTACTTGAGATCGACGAACTTGTGTGTTGTGTATGCATATATATGAAATGAGAGAGAGAGGATAAAAAAAAAGAAGTATTTATACATAAAAGGTACATATAGCGTATTTACGCTATTTTAAAATCTATGTAAGAAAACATTTCCAGCATAGAGCTAAATCTATATTGCAACGTGTACGAGAAGGAAAAATTGTGCATGAAAAAAAAGAGATTATTGCTGTTTTTGTGCGGCCACGTTTTTTGTTTTGTTTCTTCTCATTTCGGGCCAATTTCAGTGCTAACATATCAACAGTAATCGAATATTTAAGAAGTGAAACAAATTGAAATGCATAGAGTCTTTCGTACCAAACACATTTTTTTTTGTTTTGTGAACATACGTGTATGAGTATGTATGGCGATTTGCATGATCGAAAAATGCAATACGTTCAAGCGAATTAAATTGTCTATATTGTGAATTCTAGTTTTTGACTTGAAAATTGCACCCATCGACGGCCCCAAAAAATTACTGCCTTTTAAACGTGTCTCTGTGAAAATATTCCAATTTGGTTAAATTGAAAGAAATAAGTGAATGGTTTTTTTTTTTATCGAAGAGAAACACACAAAGATTGAATATTACCAAATACAAAATAAAAAGAATATCTCAGTACGGGTTTTGTTGAGTTGGAGTCAGTGTTTGAGACAACGAGAAAGAGATGAAATGATTTAATGATTCAGATACAAATGTGACTCGGCAAGAAATTGTTCTTTTTAAGTGCATTGAAAGTACCAATTTTTTGTGTATGTGTAGAACAAAACCAAAGCATAACATATTACATTGGATACGCACATAAACGAAACAAAAGAAATTTCGAGTGGTTTACAAAAAAAAAAATCTTGCGAAAAAATAGACAGATTAAAGAATTGCAGGCGCCAGTTAAATCTTCATCGAAAGAGTCAAAACACGGACATCGGACGATCCAAGATCGGATAAAAAAAAACACGCAGTGAACAAGGTACCTTTTCCGGCTACAAATATTCTCATGAATTTGTGTTTATCAAAACAAAACAAAAGAAAAACATTTTGTAAAATGGTTTGATTCAACGTATTTGTGATCGTAATGAGTTATTAGAAGCAATAAAAATCCAAATGTTTCGACATCCACACACTGGAATTAATAAAATGAAACGTTTTCAATTAAAAATCCCTCGGCCATACACAACAACCATTTATATGCATTTCAAATTTACTTCGAAATTCATTTGATTTCATTTTCGATGCGCTTAATATCACTACTTTTTTGTGTCCATTGGCTTTTTCGCTTTGTTGTAATGAAAAATTACTCTGAATATATTTATGCCTAGGTCGAGGTTTTACAGTCGTTGAATAACAATGCGATCGGGATCTTAGTCTGATATATGTATATACAGATAGACAAATAATAAAAGTGAGTAGAATATAGAAATGGTCTGAGAGCGAGTAAGCTAAATTGGGAAAGCAAAGAAATAATACACAAAAAAACACATATCAACAATAGAATATGCATTTCATTGTATCATCACATGGGTCACCTACCTGCCGTGCCATCGATTCTTCCTTTTTTTCGTGTGTCTAACTCTCACATTCAATAAACATTTTATACGGAATCGAACGAGATTATTTTCTACGCTGTAAAAATAAGAAATAAATCTTGAAGAATATTAACCAAAACCGATTTGAAAGAAAAAAGAAATAACCGTAGTGAGTTTCAATTTCAATCGTAGAACCACATTGAAATTATTTATTCTGTCAGCATTTTTCCTCCCTCATTTTTTATGGCCAATTCTATCGAATCTGTTCTGTTTTTTTTAACGAACATTGACTAGTTCAGAATACGTGCGCGTCAGGTAGAAAAAAAAATGTACCAAATGGTCTCAAGTTGTGATATGCGAAGAAAAACGGAATAAGAGAGAAAAAAACTCCTTTTTTGATTGGGAACTATTCTTTAAAAATGAACTCACACTTGGATGTTGTTGGTTGCTTTGAAATTTATTAACCGATAACGACGAATCTCGATCGCCTCTCTTCTATATATGAAATGATTAATGGTAAATATTGATTTAATATTTTTTTTTCTATCTGAGTTCGATTACTTTCTATTCGGCGTAAGTTCAAACAACAAAATACCGAATGAATGATGCATTATTGTGAAAGTTTAATTTGTGTATGTTTTAATTGCATTTCTTGTGATTTAATTGTGATCAAATGACAATGCTTATTTATCATCATGGTTTCATATGAGAGAGTTGCGGTTGAGAGAGAAAAGAGTAAAAGAGATGAAAGTCTAGTCTATAAACCCAAATTGTGTTTGAACTCGTTCGTCGATGAAAGTTATTTGGAGTATGTTTGCGTTTAGTTTAAAATCTCTCACATCAGCAAAAAGAAAACAACAATTATAACATTGCTGTCAAATGCTTGCGCGTTATTCATATCAACGTCAAAATAAAACAATACATAAAATCATAAAACAATCCAACACCACTTCCATATGCTCATAATGAGATGGCACAAAAAAAATTCCCTATAATTTCCATCGAACTAGCTGCTCATTTCCGTACTTGGATTTGATTTTGTTTTTTTCTGTTCATTTCTCATTCATAATCACATCTCTCCAGCCACATTTCCGACAGTTACCGATTTGCTTTTTATTCGAATCTGATCAAGCACACTGATTCGATTCAACTGAAAACAAAAGCGACGAAATGCAAACATTAATCCACTTGGTGAAAAATGGTTACAAGCTAAAACAAATAACAATGAATTAAAATTGTTTAAGTTCATACAAGAGGCTGAATGAAAAGACGAGAAAAAAATAGCGGCCCAAAACACATAGACACAACAGAGAGGGAGAGAATAAAAGAAAACAATTCATTTGGTGCGGCCGTATTCGAAATGAAAATAAGTGAAGACAAAAAAAATATGTACAAACAAAACAATGAGCAAGCAAAATACCACACCTTATGCTGCTATAGTAGAGTTAATATACATAAGTGTTCTGTGCAATGTTCGATGGCAACAGTTTGATATTAACCATGTATAATATGCAAAAGGTAAAACAAGATCTGTGCGCATTTGGAATTGAACGTAGCATAAATTGTGCATTTTGGAATGTGCATATAAACTGCGAGAGAGGAAAAAAATACACTTTAATATGTGTAATTAGAGTGGTGCAGAGATTTGGTTGTTCTTACTCTTTTTTCCATGCTTAATAGCTGCTTTGTTTCAAGCCTCGACTCCGAAGATAGATAATAATAATAAACAAAAAACGTAGGCGAAGAATCAATGTTTTTTTTCGGGTTCGATACCTTAAAAAAAATATATGGCCATGTATGCATTTCGAAATTCGGCATCGCATTTTTCGCGTCACGATTTACGATCGACGATGTAACTCGTTCCATAAATGTGCGGTTTTTTTTCCTTCAGTCACTCTCTGCATTTTCTGTCAAACGAATTGAAATCGAGTGTGTATGATGTGGCTGATGTAATTTGACGTATAGGAAAAAAAACAGATGCTCCTTTTGTTCTGTGTTCGAGAGTCTCAAATTAAAAGAAAATTAGATTTGTCTGTTGATCGACAAGTAAAATAGCTGCGATCACATTAAGGGTGAACATCGGTGAGTAAATGGAATGGCCCAAGCGATGGCAATAATATTTTGAATATATGTACATGCGGAATGGAACCGCAGGTGTCATACAAAACTGCTGACAATCCTATAAATTTGAAAACATTTTTTTTAATTCATTCGTTCGTTTCGCTCGCATTTCATACTCCAAATCATTTGTTCTGAATTCCTCTTTTGCATCGTATTTCGTGTTCTTCTCTATTTGTTAAAGAAGAAGTAGATGTGTGTTTTTTGCGGTTTAATATGATGATCGAAGCAGGCGCGGGAGAGAATGAAAAAGATTCTTGTAATCTTAGTTCAGGTCGAATGGTATTACATACGAATAAAAAAAAATCCCATTATAAAATCATTTGTTTCTTTTGTTTTCATATTTGCCGCTCGCCATGTTCATTTGTTCTTCATTTCTTTTGTCCAGCAAGTAAGTTGTTGCTGTCGACGTCGTCGTCGTTGCCGTGTTTTTTTTTGTATTTCGGAAATTTCGTTTTGAATAGTGCGGTCTCTAATAATGCTGAATTGAATGCGACACAGAACAGAAACCATCGGGTGATACAGGAAATGGGCTTTTCTTACTTCGCTAATTTAGAAAACAGTCGAAAATAATTACATACTATCATCCTATTTTTTTTTATTTCATGCGTTCATTCGTTCCCGTCGTTTCTTTGTCTTTCATACTTTCCTTTTTTCCATTCGCTTACCGAAAATATACTTTTCGACATGAGAAGATTGCGGACATAAAGAGATAGAACCGTGGTACAATAAATCTTACGAATTCGTTGAAAGTTCTCAGTTCATTTCTCTTATTTTTCGGGTTTATAACACACAATAAAATTGGTATATATCCGTATCTATCAGCGCCATTCATTTTCTCGAATCATTTTTTTTCTTCTTCTGCTCGGCAAGAGAACTTTTGCATTCATTTTAGACGATGTGTGTGTTTCAGCCCACGCCAAATCACACAGGTTACCCTTTAATTATAACGGAACGAAGAAACGAATGACAATAAATTATTATTATATTGTACGTGTATTTGAATAATGACCCTCAAACATCACCATCATCATCATCATCGCCAACACTCGGAACAGCTTTTTCGTCAAATTCATGCGATAATGATCTCAATTTCGAGAATGTTTCTTTTATACTTCCACTGCAATATAAGAAGAGCTTCCTAGAAACAAACGAGACATACCTATAATAACAATAATTGATTCAGTTCGTTTGATATATGAAGATCAAATAGATGGGAAGAGTATGTTCAGCAATGTTTGACGTGTGAATTTTTTCGCCCGGTTAAGCGTGAAAGTGCGCAAAAGTGCGAGAATTCGTTTCATTTTACATACATGAATCGACAATCAACTCATATTGTTCATCTCAATTAACGAACAAATTAAAACTTTTGCAATCAATTAAAAAAGAACGACTGAAATCTAGACGATCTACATTGCACCGACACTTCTTTGCTTCTTCTTCTTATTATTTTTTTTGTTACTATTTTTTATTTCCCCCATTTCTTCATTTTCAATACATAGTATTCTAATGCATGCCTAAGCAAACTCACTCAATTACTTGGTATTCATTGAACGAAACCTGTTGCTTTTCATGCTGCATGAGCATACCGCACGGTGCATACACAAATACACAGCCTTTTTCTATGCGTCTGCCCTCCTATCGAACACTCTGTCGAATAATAATAATCATTAATGCCATGTTTATCGAATAACACGCATGCCTTTTTTTATTATGCATTACAGAACATTCGTCTATAAATTGTAATGTGAAAATGTGTTTTCGTTCTTTTTTTTCGAAACTTAACGTGGGAACCACCAAACAAACTAATTTTAATTTGCCAAACACAAGACGCCCAATAAACGAAGAATTTTAAGTTCTTTTTTGTTTCGGTAACAATCATAATTTCGAGGCCATAATTTCAGAATGTTTTTTTTTTTTATTTTATTTCGTTGCTTCAACGGAATTAGTGAGAATAACAACAAGATGTAGTTAGTAGAATATGCGTTGCAAGGCCAAATTAACCACTCGGATAATTTCTCTCGACAATATTCGGACATCGAGTACAATGCTGCGTAATGAAGATATGATTTAATGTAACACATACACATTCTTAATGGGAACGTGTGATTCTGTGATAATTATTTTGAGAAAAAAAGAAGTACATTATTTTTAGACCGTAAAATTATCTGATGAAATCAGAGTCGTTGAACAATGTTCTTGGTTTTGTTCTCGGCACATGGGATACATGTGTCTAGCGCTGGGTCTTAGTTCGCATTGGCGATGATATTGTTCAAAAAATGATGGTAATGAAAAGAGTAAAAATTATTGCATTAGCACCCATAAGCGTAAACTAACCGTAATAATATCCATCAGGTTACAAAATTCATTCTTTTAGTATTGTATTCGAGCATGTAAATGGGCAAGATGATGTGTGTATCTCTGTGTAATGTACTCATTCTCGTGTACTTGGAATAAATATTTGTTTCTCATAGTGGCCGTTATGCGCGCACGCGCACACAAAAACTATATAATATTTTTGCTCTACGTAGCTGACTCTTTCATAACGGACTCGGGCAAAAAGATAGAGAGAAAAGAAAACGTACAAAATTATTGAAATACAAATGACAGCTCGAATATATACCATATTTTATGAGCAACATCAATTTATGGAATTTTTCATGTTCAATTGCGTGCTAAAATTTTATTTCCACAGTGCGGTCGCGCACTGTGCGATTTTACTTTTTCTCTTTGAGCTATTGGATTGAGGTGAGCGCGTCAAGCATAATTTTGAAATTGATTTTTTGCCGATGGCATTTTTCGTTCACGATCGCGACCACATACGAAATACTTGCGAGCGCGCGTGTGTGTAGGATAATATCCGTCAAACAGCGAACGATATTATAAACACATCGTATAATACATTGAAACAGTTTGCAATTATATATGGAGCCCATCTCCGTTGAAAAAAAAAACAAACAAACAAAACATGCAGTTACATAGACATGCCTTTGCACTGACGATGCACTCTTCCTTTCGCTTTTTCTATGCAATCATAAATCTTTTTCCGAATTACAATTTCCGCACCCAAAACGCAATTCATGAAATGCACTCACACACATTCCATATCGCATTCGCAGTGTATGTTTTTTGCCAATACATTTATCCAATGTTTATATTATCTTTGTTCATTATTTTACCTAAAATGACATAATTTTTTTCTTTTGTACACATTTGCCTGAAATGTAAAAGAAATAGTTGTGTTGTCAAACAACCGCACCAAATGGTTATACGCATGCCATACGCCATTGCACCGTGTTGCACTTTTGTTTTGATCATTCTTGATATATAATATTTACAGTCACATAGAAATGAAACGAAAGAGACTTTAGAGTGAAGATAAAGACAAAAAAAAATAACATGAATATTGTACAATGATTAATTTGATTATAACCAAAGCAAAAGAAGTAGAGAAAAAAAGAATATATGTGAATTGGTGAGATTTGCGAACATGGCACCAAACAACGCACGCGAAAAAGTGCAAAAAGCCACAAGAAACACATCTTTTTTCTCTATATCTAATGTGCTGACTCGTAGTCGCGGTAGTTGCAAGCCACAATTTATCTTAAAATGAAATATAGCCATACGATGCAAACGATGCGAATGCTATCTTTTCTTTTAAGCTATTTGGTCAAACAACTTTCACTTGAAATTTACATGCACAATATCTATTTATCGACGAAAAATTGGTCGCGACCAATGAAAATGGCCACAAAAATTGGCGAGAAACAAAATCACAGAAATTTGAAATAGCGAGAAAATAAAGAGAAAATTTCATTTGGCAAACTAATCAACCATTAGTCTAATGATGATTTTATTGCATGGCATAAGCATTTAAGCTCGCGAACCAGGCATATTAAAATAATAATTAATTTGATACATGTAAAATGTGGCAACGGAGCTGTTCGCATACAAAGTGCACTGAGCGCATATTCAACTGTGAATAATAATTGATTATGCAAAGAAAAAACACACGGCGATGGATAAGAATTTCAATCGACAAACTGTGAGGCAGCGAACTATTGTAGCAAAAGACAGATATACGCTATGATTTGGTGAATCGTACAAATAGCGTGAAAATGAACTGCTACAAATGCTGAGTGAGACCAAACCGAATGGTAATGCCATGAAACACTCACAAAAAATGTTTGCAAATGAAATGAATGGTAAAGCCACAGGGTGAAGAGATTATGAATTGTGTAGCATTGTATACATTCCAATTTGCAAATGAGAGAAAAAAGAACCATCACACTCATATATACATTGTAGATGATTTTCTGGCAATTTTATTTTCTCTACTGTCATATTGGGCGCATGGGTGCGAGAGTACGAGCGAGTGGTGGTGCTGTGTGAGAGTGCCATTTTCTGGTTCGCCTTTCCAAATGAAACACACCGATTTCTGTGCAAATCAAACACAGAAAGAGAGAATGAGAAAGAGAAAGGATAAAAAAAAGCAACAACGGGCGACATAATCTATCGTTTGTATGACTTGTTCATATGGACGAGTTTTTGGTGTGCCCAAGTCGAATATCATGTTGCTGTGCGCTTGATTTATTGCACCGAACGACACAAAGTCACGTTGAGATACGAAAAATGTTTAATAATCGGCCGTGTACTGTGTGCGACGACGATGAAGACGAAATACCGTGCGCACTTACTCAAAAATAGAAAAGAATAAGAAATAAAGCGCAAGCGAGACAGTTAACATCAGAACACACAAAATACATAGCAAATAATCATCATCAGGCAAGAAGACGCAAAGAACAGCAACCAAACCATCGTTGTTTCTTGTGTGTGTGTCTTTTTTTTCTTCTTTCTACTACAACGGCCAATAAATTTATGAATTAGATGATAACGATAAAATGATGATATTAAAAAACAACAACAACGACAAACACAACAAGCGAAAGATGGCAAGCAAATGGCCTATGAAAAATACGGTGTTATAAGATATAGATTTTTCGTACGTGTGTCATTGTGCATTTCCTTTCGGGTCTTTCACTGCACTTTCCACTCGGGAGTTTTTAATCTCCTTGTCGCTCGTTAACAATGTTAACTTTAACAGTGCATTGAATTATAAAGCGTGTCGTTTTGCTTCGTGTCGTTGTTTCTCTTCTTTTTTCTCCTCTCTTTTTCGTATTCTCTTACTCTTGCATTGCACTTCGTTCGAGCACCGCGAACCGTGTTCATTTTGAATGTGCTCTTATCGCTGTTTAAAAGTTTTTTTCAATTCCTAGAACCTGAGTTGTTACAGAGACAATATTTGTTTCGGTCTAACATAGAGTATTCTATCAAAGACGTTTTATTGCTGGGGCATAAAAAAAAGATGCTCACATACAAAAGCCAAACACAGAGGTAGAAAGAGAAATGAAAATCAAGTGACGCAACTTAACGCGCATACTTAGCATTTCAATTGAAGTCATGGGATTTTTTATGGGTGATGATGCACGCACAATATTGCGCTTTTGTTTTGTAATGAAAATCATCATTTTTTAATATATTTTGTGTCTCTTCCTTACACAAAATGCGAACGCATAAAATACTTGTCGTAACTTATGGCTGTCCATTCGTTTCGAAGCCATCCACGGTATTGGTAAGCGCGCGCACACTTGCGCGTCCAAAAATCATAAACATTTTCTAGATAACACAGAAAAAGAGTAAACTTTTCATTTTTTTCGTTTTCATAAATTCCATAATTGTGTGTGCACCGGCCGCGATGTATTCATCCGTCTTTTCTGGGAGCATCAAACCATACGTCGATAAAGGAAAAGAAAAAACAAACTAAAAAGTCATAAATATAAAATTTATCTCCTAATTAGCCACAATGTAAGCAATTTTCATGGGTTTGAAAGCATGCCGTGCACAGAAAACAAATATATAAAGTAAGATGAAAACGAAGCCATTTTTTGAGAGAAAAAACAATATTTGTCATTGCATATGTGCAGCAAACTAGTTTCTTTCTTTGCTGTGCATTTTTTTTCGATTAAATCGCCGTCTTAAGATGCACATAATAATTGTCCGCATTGTTCAATTGTGGGTAATTAAAATATTAATTCCGATGGTGAAAACAAAGGCCATGAGCCGACATAAGCCGTACGGTGTGTTGCGGTGCACAGTTCATTTGCACCGATTGCAAACTTTCGAAACATTACTGTCAATGGGCGCATGCCGTTGTACCAATATAATAACTTGTCGCTGTCAAATCGTTTCGATTCTGTGCTGCTGTGCACATTTCACTTCCAACAAAAAAGAGAGTCATTGCCACAAATTGCAATTGTAATTATCACGGGCAAAATATCATGTTGACAATCAATGTGTTTTCCTGTGCTCTATCTTGGTTGTTTTTCTGTTATTTTTTTTTTTTTTTTTTTTTTTTTTAATGAAGCAGTAAAAAAAGAACTCAATTGAAATGCATTCAAATGGAAAGAGAGAAAATGATCTCGAAAAAAAAATTGTTGTGGCCATTCCATTACCAAACGGGTATATTTCTACGAAACAATTTGCATGTAACTCAAACCCGATCACACAAATACACCGCACAAATGATAAACCAAATGACTTTTTTAAAAAAATAAATAAATTCTCGATCGATGTTTCTATCTTTGTTCATTTCTATTTTTCATAATTTTTTTTATCTTAATTTCCTTTTCAGCGAGACACCGAGACAGTGAGATAGATAGAGAGACACCGAAACATAGACAGATAGAGAGAGGGACGGAAACCCATTCGAAATAAATCATAAAGTATCGAGAGACACAGGGGTCATTGAAATACACAAAGATAGAGAACGTTGTAGTGGAGTGTGTGTGCGAGTGAGTGTGTATAAATTTTTTTTATCTGTGGCAAGCTATAGCGCGCAATGGTTCATTTACATAATTTTAATCGGTGATGATAAAAAGCGGTGAGTTGCTGCTGTATGAGTCGCGTTACACGTAGGTGAAAGATAAATTATGGCAGCATCCACGAAACAAATGAAACGAAAAATGTTTTGTTGTCTTCACATTGGAATGATGAGGCGACTTGTTTGGCTATTATGGTGGTGGTCAATGTATCTAGTATGCATTGGTACGTTGACGACAATACGAATGACGATGGCCGAACATGTATGCGAATTAGATGTATCGGAAGGCGTACCAATCGGTTATAAAATCGGTTACATTGGCGAGTTTTTGCCGGGCGTTGATAGTGGCCCACCGTATTTAATTGTACCGGTGCAAGGTAGCGCGGTCGAACCGGACCTATCAATTGATCATACAACCGGTGAAATAAGGACAAAAGTGCTATTGGATCGTGAAATGCGTGCATCCTATTCATTTGTTGCGATACCAATGAGCGGTGAAAATATTAAAGTATTAATTCGTGTACTGGACGAAAATGATAATGCACCAACATTTCCATCGTCATCAATGAATATTGAATTTCCGGAGAATACACCACGCGATGTTAAACGAACACTAAATCCGGCACGTGATTTAGATTTAGGGCGACATAATACACAACGCTATAATATTGTATCGGGTAATGTGAATAATGCGTTTCGATTGTCATCGCATCGTGAACGCGATGGTGTTTTATATTTAGACTTGCAAATCAATGGATTTTTAGATCGTGAAACAACACCATTTTATAGTTTAGTGATTGAGGCAATTGACGGTGGTAATCCACCGTTACGTGGTCAAATGACAGTGAATATATCAATACAAGACGTTAATGATAATACACCGATATTCAATCAAAGTCGATATTTTGCATCCGTACCGGAGAATGCAACGATCGGTACAAAAGTGCTTCAGGTGTATGCCACTGATATTGATGCCGGTAACAATGGTTTAATTGAATTCACAATAAATCGTCGACAAAGTGATCGAGAGCAAATGTTTCAAATTGATAGTAAAACCGGTATTATTTCGGTGAATAAGCCGCTCGATTTTGAAACAAAAGAATTACATGAATTGGTTGTGGTGGCTCGTGATCATGGCGAGCAACCGTTGGAGACGACAGCATTCGTGTCGATATCCGTAACAAATGTCAACGATAATCAGCCAATAATCAATGTAATTTTCTTAAGTGACGATGCAACGCCAAAAATTGCCGAATCAGCACAGCCAGGCGAATTTGTTGCACGAATTTCGGTAAACGATCCCGATTCAAAAACCGAATATTCAAATGTAAATGTTTCACTGATTGGGGGTGATGGACATTTTGGTTTAACAACACGCGATAGCATAATTTATTTGGTCATTATTTCGTTGCCGTTGGACCGTGAATTGCAGCCAAATTACACGCTGAGCATTGTGGCTACCGATCAAGGTACGCCACCGTTGCACGCATCAAAAACCATTTATTTAAAAGTAACCGATTGTAATGACAATGCACCCGAATTCGAAAAAGAAACATACCATGCAAATGTGATGGAAGTTGCCGATCCGGGCACATCAGTTATACAAGTAGCCGCAATCGATCGTGACGAAGGCAACAATTCGGTCATCACATATTCCATATTGGATACACCAAATACGCATTCAGAATGGTTTCAAATTGATCCAAACACCGGACTGATTACAACACGAACGCACATCGATTGTGAAACCGAACCCGTACCCCAATTGATTGTACAAGCTCGTGACAATGGCGTACCGGCAATGTCATCGACTGCAACGGTTTTCATCCAAATTCATGATGTCAATGACAATGAACCGATCTTCGATCAAAGTTTCTACAATGCAACCGTTAGCGAAAATGATCCAAAGGGCAAATGTATCTTAAAGGTAAGTCAAATTCAATTGTTTAAATTCCATTTTTTTTTCTTCTCTTTTATTTTTATTATTACATTATACCATGCGAAGAAAAAACAAATCATTTCAAAGTTTTTGCAGAAAGAACGCAGAACTTGAAAAAAATATATGATATTAACAGCTTCAGATCCAATTCTGTTGAGCAGACATTTAGATTTATCCATTTGGAAAAATGTTTTGGTTTGTTGTTTGAGAGATTTATTGTTGCCATTATTAGAGTTAATGTCGTGCATGAGTTACGGTATTTTTTTTAGCTGTTTTCTGTATTCACCACGAGCAAAATTCTTCTCTTTAGGATGGATTCGCATCATTTGCTCGTCGTGGTGTGTCACAGCCAGAAGGAAATAGAAATGAAACAATATATATGAATAATTGAAAAAAACAACGAATGAAAACACAACAGCAAACGATATGGCCAAAGGAAATCGAAACAAAGAGTCAAGAATTTAAAGTCATTCATCTGTTTTGTTGATTTCGTTGTGTCGAGAATACCGATAAAAATTTTTTTGTCCGTTGTTCATGTACGAGGGAGAGAAAAAAAAAACGTGAAGAAAGAAGAAACGAATTGTATATCACGACACGACACAAACGATCACACAACGCGATTTCTGGTAGCAAACCGCTTGCAATCTTTTATTGAAAATCTACTGTGAAAAAAATAATAATGCAGACACACACACAAACATAAAATAATTTCTTCGTTTGAATCAAAACAAATCTATCCTCGAACGGTTGTTGTTCAATCCATTTGGTTTCAACTTGCTCTATGATTTCGAAGGGGACGATCTAAATGAGATACATATTTACATGAGTTTCTGTTGAAACGGTCAATGGAACCAATCGGCTGGCACATTTATTATATCATAATGTAGAAGCCAAAAGACCAACCAAAGATGAATCACGTTCAATTCGCATGAGTTTTTTTCCCTGTTCGGGTTTGCTTTTCAATTTGCATCTCTTCTGATATTTCCAACAAACGGTGCAAATGAATAAAAGACGACAAAACCATTTGTTTTGCTCAAGACAAAATTGTCGTAAAGATAAACAGAAAATGTGTGTGTGAGAGCAAAAGAGGAAAAAAATCACATTGTGGCAATAACATTTCACGGTGATCGTATTAAAATTTTAATTTGATTTCGATACGTTTCTGTTTCTCCGCCAAAGAACTCTTTCGCTTCACACACGGAATCAGGTAGTGTTCTTAATTTTCAGCCCATTTGTCTATTTTTTTTATCGTCGTATTACAACACATACGACACATATGAAATTCGCAAAATCGCTATTTTAGCATCTTCATGTTCATTCCATTCGAAGTCAAATTAATGAAAAACCATTCTTCAAACGTATCTTACGAACATGAGAAAAAAACACTAATTCTCTTATAAACGAAAAAAGATTCAAAATCGAGTAATAATTTCACAAAAACCAACGATGAAAAGGAAAAGGCTTACGACTCAAAATTAGAGTTAAAAACGAAAAGTTTTGTATCAATTTGGTTTGTCGTGCGATCAAATAAAGTAGGCGACTATACAATTATAATCATCAACGTCGACGATTCGGTTTCAATACGTACACACAGATCGATAGAAGATTAAAATTTTGTGTACGTTTTTTTTTGCTTTTTTGATTACTTAATTTTTACCGTTGTCAAAATCGTCTTGTCGCTATTTCCATGATCGGTGTTTGTTTTTTCTGTCTTTCTTCGCATCTCTCTATTCTGGCTCGTTTGTTTTTTTTTTTTTAATGTTCATTTCCTAGAGATCGAACTATGATTGCGTCGTTTACGTCGATTCGTTTTGTTAATTTTCAGTATTTGAAATTTAAATACGAGAGCAGATCACAATCCGATCCGAGACATTTTATGTATGTGTTTTTGGTGCTAATGAAGTTGTTTGCGATCATTGAACGCATCTCGTTCGCAGCGTACAGATCATCTTTAGTTTTAATCATCTCGTTTTCTTGTTCATATTTGGAAAAATCGTGGGTAATGCTTTTGTAATCTTTTCAAAGAAAGAATATATTTACGATTCCTAGCCAAACAGTACAAAATAGTCTCGATTTGATATGGGGGTCAACAAAATTGTTGAATGGAATGGAGAATTAAATTAGTCGAAAAACTGAAAAACAAACAAACACACTACGTTCAATTCAAATCAATTTGCAAACGATAAAAATCAACTCCCCACGACATTTTCCACTCGCGATATTCACATGTATTTAACAGTTTGTTCGTTCATTGCAATACGACATTCTTGATTTGATTACCAACATACAGAGCACAGAGAATTCAAAGCATATATACATAACATCAAAGCTCGTATCTGACATTAACTAAATTACTCTGAAAAGTTGCTATAAATTTCCGAGGAAATTTACATATTTTTTTGTTTTTGTTTTTTTTTTCTCGTTGACTTTTTGAATTCTTGTGGTGTATTATGTGTGAATGGTCATCTGGAGGCTTGATAAGTTGTGTCATGTTCAAAGGCATTTCTTTTGATTGTGCGTTCTCTTGGCCGAACCGCAAGTGGAGACACAGGGAGAAAGAGAGCGCATTTTACGTGCACAAATCAACGATCGTTGAGTGAGTCAAATTCAAAGCTCTTAATGAGTTTATTATACGGCATTTTATTTTCGTTTCGTATTCCATTCTACCAAGTCAGGAAGACCACGGTATTTATTCTCTTAATTCGTTCGAAAATCATCGCGAACAAACAGAGAGAAAAAAAATAAGAAATTATTTAATTAACATGGAAATGATATGGTTTCGTTCGATTCGTAAAATGATCACATTTTTTTTTTTGGTCGATTCTCTGTAAATCCGATGTGGATGATGTCGTCGTTTCTAAGTTCAAAATAACGATAATTTCTTCTTAAATGTCTTATCGCTGGGCGGCACATTTGCTGGATATGGGAAAAGGTGTGAAATCCTTTTTGGAATTCCGGACGCATTTTGTTCAGCTGGCTGGTAACACACCACAGGCATATACAACTATATAATCGAATGATGCGCATTTAATTTTGGACGGTTTATTTAATTGTTGAGATATTGTTGAATTTGAATGGGCTGATGATGATTTTCTTAAAATTGTTTTCTATTGTCAGTGAAATGTTCATTATTGGATATATTTCGGCGTAAAATAGTTTTTATTCATAATTTTTCTCCTTTTCTTCTCATCATTCTCGTCCACACATTCTTCGAAAATTTTCATTCATCGTGCATTGGAATTATGCATTATTCATAAATGCATCATGTTCATCCCAAAGGATTTATCTAAATGTTTTTTACAGCGTGGCAAAAGTCAAATGTAACAATACCTTTGACACAAAGTAAAAATTATGAACCAGAAAGATATGGAAAGTCGAGTGTGTTAAATTCAAGTCTATTAAAAGTGTCAGTTTGAACGCCAGATTCTTGGTAAAAAAATATTCTCTCTATTTCTTTTTCTATTGTGTGCGTAAAAGAGATGGAATGCCACAAACAAAGGCTACGTGATAATACACTGGTTATCTCTCTCTCTCTCTCTCTTCCTTTTCTATTGACGAATCAAAAACAATATATATATATTCAGTATGGAGTGTTTATTACTTTTACCCATCTCTTTGTCTTTGTCTGTACGATTTCAAATGGGTCTGTCGACATACCAATGAATTTTGAAAGAACAGAACTCGAAAAAAGACCTTTACAACTATTAAAAGTGTACACCATCAATTCGAAATTAATAAAAAAGACGAAGGAATAGAAGTTTAGAAGATAAAAAAGAATAACACACACACATACAATACCGAATTAAAGAGAGTAGATAGAGAGAGAGCGAAAAAAATGTACCGTCACAAATTTTTATCTGAGTGACTGAGGGAAGCGAACAACACACACCGAGAGTTCGTAGAGAAAGAAAACTCAAGCAAATGAAGCACAAATGAAAATCCAAAACGACGACCACGAGAAGTCAATAGATAGAACGAATGAACGAACGAAATAAAAAAAAGAACGCGTTTTAATGGATTCTTCAGCATATGCCCAACACAATAGTCTCTCCATACAGAGAGCGAGAGAGAGAGAGAGAGAGAGAGAGTGAGCAAGAGGAGGAGAACGATAGAAAGAGAAGAATGGCACAAAGTCGAAGTGTACATTCGATTGATGTGTATAGCCTGCATAGTGCTTTCCTTTCCTACTAAAACAACCTCTTTCATTACTGTGGAATTCAAGAATGGCTCGCGCGCGCATGACTGTGGCTGAGATCGCGGCCCGATCAATTTAAATATACATATATATAGGTATGTATGTGCCTATTGCGCTTTCAGAGTAAATTCTTGATTATATTCATAACAAAATGCACGCACATCCATGCCATTTAAATGCCAATGCAAAACGAAACACTCTATTCGTTGATATTAGACGAATGTAATGAGAGCTGGATGTATGTAATAGAACTAAATGCGACCGCAACATTTTAGTCCGAAAAAAAGTGGCAACCAAACAGGGCACAAAACTATTCAAACAATTTCAATTAAAAGTTTTATTTTTCTTTGAAGAACGAACAGAAAAAAAATGAAACAGCAACAGATTCATCTTAGTCAATGGGGCCTTATTTCCCAGTTGCTTTTTGAAAACCACTTCAAGCCGTCAAGGTAATCGTTTGCTCGGACCCTGTCATCGTAAAAATCGTTTCAGTCGACAACACCAACAACGGCGACGATGACAGTAGTACTTTTGCCGCAACATTGTTGCTTACATGCAAGCAAACATTTTGTATTGCTTTTTATAGCGCACCAAAATTCAATTTGCGATAAATCAAAACTGAAAAAACATTTTTTTTAACCATATAACAACATACAGTTTTATCAATGTGGTTGTAAATTATTAGTATTGTGCTTACACCTTTGCACGTTCGTTTGCGATCACATCTGTGCGAACACATTCATATATTACCATATGCATACATAACAACAACAATCGCAGAAGAAGAAAAAAT